AGGCAGCATACTCTGAGTGCTGAATTTTTTTTCTTGATACCTTCATCTGTTTATTTTGTCTTTTATACCTTGTTCCAAATTATGTGACCCTGTATGTGCCCCTTGTTCCAAAATCGGTGACCCTGTAAATTCAATAGTTCCTGCCACAACTGATTGACTTGGGTTGACTGAAACTATCACTATCTGTTGCTTATCACTTGGCCATGCCATTTTTTTTCATTTGATTTACATAAGTCCAATTCAATGTTTTTGTCAAATCAGACAGCAATTTTTGCACTGTGTATGTTCTCCATTACACCCAGGGACATAGACAGCAATACAATCCTTAAAGAGCCTTATAGAAATCAGCATTCTACTAAAGAATACATTTTTGTGTTGTCTGTGTTCCTGTTGTGGGGGATCTCTCGTTACTTCCTGTTCCATCTGACACACATCAGATAGACAGAAGGTGAAAGTATTTGAGCACATCTATCTTAGCATAGTCAGTTTTCTGGCTGTACTGGGAGAACAGTGTGCCTGTCCTCCAATGGCCTTGTGCTTCCACACCCAATAGGAAAACAGAGGGACTGGCAGGAACATCATGGATTTTGCACAAAGGAAGCAATACAAAGAGAACAGGATACTTTTCCATACAAGTATATGGTACCAGGGGCGGACTGACAACTCATAGGGCCCCCGGGCAATAGGGGATCATGGGGCCCCTGTGTCTTTGCCCAAACTCAAAAAAAAAAAAAAAAAGCCTATGAAAAAGGTACCGGGGCTTCTCATGGGGCCCCCTACTGACTCCGGACCCTCGGGCAGTGCCAGAGTTTCCAAATGGTCAGTCCACCCCTGCATGGTACAGCAGGCACATATCAGGAATATGAAATGTTGAATTTACATATAACACAATGTTTGAAAGATGTTCCTATAGGAAAACTAATGTTTTCCTCCTTCCTTTCCTCCCGTACAATCAAGTGGTTGTAAAACCTGAAGGCTTTTACCTTACTGCATTCTATACATGTAGATTAAAACCTTCAGTATGCAGCAATGGCAGGGGACTTGAGAAGAGGAGGATCAGAGATGCTCTGTGCAAAACCATTGCACAAAGCAGGTAAGTATAATATGTTTGTTTTTATAATTTTTTTAATTTAAGGCTTTTGTATCACTTTAAGTGTCTAATGCTTTCTTCTTAGTCTTGGGGCATGTAATAGAAAGAAGTCCCACAGTCTTACTCTCCCCCAATTCCAATATGGATGATAGGTCCCAATAAGGATCTTCTCTTCTGCTGGTTGTACAGCCACCACTCTTTAACCTCATTAAGTACAATGTAAATTCAACGGGCATTGCTGTTCCTGCATTGTATGGGATAATGTCAAGGACCCACCCAGGAATTAGCAAAATCATCTGCAATTAGACCAAAGAATAAGGTAAGTATTCCTCCTGCACTACACCCCCAGAGTAAACAAGCATTAACTTGTGAATATGCAGTGGTACCCTAATGGTACTTCCGTATAGCTGACCTGTGTCCAGCTTTAGGCCTTAGTCACATTTATGTAATTAGACATAAAATATGCCTACCTTAAAAAAAAAAAAAATGTTGTATTCCTGCGACTGTGGAGCTGTAGATGTACGTGCCATAATCACTGTAGTAAGCATTGCTACTAAAGTGATGTCCACTTTCCATCTGGCTGCTGTATATAAACGGCCTGACGCTGGCAGTGCAGGGGCGGGTTGCCATTCATAAACGGCGCCCGCAATTTTGGACTGTGCACTCTCCCTGGGAGTGCACGGCACCGCAATCCAATGCCCCCTGTGTCCGGATGTGCGAGGTCCCGATCATGTGATCACTGATTGGCCAATCAGTGATCAAATGAATAGGTGTAAGCAAGATGTCACTTCTGACATCATTGCTTACTACGTGTGAAATCTGTGAATGATCACAGAGATCACCTGGTATAAGGCTATTCACAACAGCCTTGTACCATGTGACAAGCTGTGACCAATCACAGCTCACACAGTATTTTTCAATGGCTGTAAGAATTCAGCCAAAGAGAGAACGTTTTGCTTTTACAGCCTTTATGGGTGTAAAAGCAAACAGTGTAAAAATATATATATCTTCATCACCCCCCCACAAGTAGTACAGTGTCACTATGGTGACATGTACTGCTAGGGTGACAGTATGTTAAAAATAAATATATAAATAAATAATAATATAAAAAAATTAAATAAAAATGTAAAATAAACATTTTTGAAAAATTATAATTTTTAGTTATAAACTAATTTGGGTTTTTTTTTTTACTAAAAAGATAACTGAATATATTTTAGCCAATATTTATCAAGAAAGATTATTTATTTGCAAAATTTTGTAAGAAAAACACTTTTTCAAAAATTTTTTGGACTTTTTCATTTATATAGCAAAAAAAAAATAAAAATCCTAGTGGTGAATAAATACCACCAAAATAAAGTTTTATCTGTCTCAAAAAAATGCTAAAAAAATTCATATGGGTACAGTGTTGCATGACCACGCAATTGTCATTCAAAGTGAGACCGTGCTGAAAGCTGAAAATTGGCCTGGACAGGAAGGGGGGTAAAAGTGTCCGGACTTGAAGTGGTTAAGGTATATTCTATAATATTAGTACAAGGTGGTAGAAAAATTGTTAAATATGCGTCTTAAATGCTGATGTTTGGAGTTGTCTTGGAATTCTGTATGAACAGAGCATGGCAATTAGAGGGCCCACAATCTTGTTAAAAATGTGTGTTGTGAAAGGAATAGTCTAAGGTATTTTTACAGCAAATATTTGGAAGTAATGTTTAGCCCACAGTTTACATCCTGGCTGAAATGCTCTGCATTTTTGTACAGCGTGGTGTTATTCTCATAGCAGACAGCATGCATGTAATATCATACATGGTGTCAGAGCTAATTTTCACACATAGATTTGACATTTTTAGTCCTAAAGGAAGACTTATTTTTTCCCTTTCTCTTTTCTGTTGTAATCAGTTAAGTTGGGGTCCATTCGCTTAGGGCTAATTTACACTTGAGACTGGGGGGGCGTAAAATCCTGCAGTTGAGCTGCATTTTGCATGCCCCTTAACTGCTCCTCTTTTTGCTTCAGAGGCAGCAGCAGGGTGTGTACACATACCACAGTAGGAATTATACCCCCTGTTGTTCTTAGTGAATGGGGCTTGCATATGTCATTGTTCAGTATTTAGAAGGTTAAAACAAGTAGTAAAAAGTCAATGCAATGCCTGTCTATTGCTCTCTAAAGAGTGATCCAAACCTTGGATCGTACTTCAAAAAATAAAGTCGGTGTAAATGAGCCCTAAGTGATAAATACTGTATGAATTTTTTGCCTTAAAATAACGGCAATATTTATCTCAAAAGTATTCAATTCACTAAATAATTATATGTTATTTATCAAATGTATTAAATAGTTATGTTTTCGATATTTAGCACTTAAATCTAGTGTTTTTTAATACATTTTTTTTCCTAGGTTAACAATGGATCAGAAGATTGTTCTATTAAAGTGTTACTAAACTCACAACAGTAAAATTAGTCTGTATATGTAGTAAAGCATGCTTGTTAGTCCTCATGCACATTGGACATTTTTACAGCTGCTGTTTTTGGCTTTTGACTTTTTTTTCTACAGCTAGTAAATCCCCCAGCAGGTTATCCTATGTGTCCATGCACACATACACTGTAATCAATGTTTTTTGGCAGGGACGTTTTTTGGCTGGAAAAAAAACCCCAGGACTAGTGGGTTTCTAGAGGGTTTTTTTAGCTGTAAAGACACTCTAACACTGCAAAACGCGGTAAAACATGGTAAATTGTGGACTTTTTTTGACAAAAAAAAATATTATTTTTTTTATTGATCAAAAACACCTCTAAAAAATGCATACATGAAAAAACATGGCAAAATGCTGATAAACGCTAATACAAAAACGTTGACTTTACACAGCTAATGTTACAAGCGTTATTAAAACGCCCAGTGTGCATGGAGCCTTATACTCACTGTTGAACTTAAGGGGTTAATCCTCTGCACTGTGTAAAAAGGCTGTTTGGTCCTATTTTCTCTGTCTCTCCTCTTGTTCAAATGTCTACCTGATAAGTTAGACTGAACCCATAGTCACATGCACATGCTCTGTTTATTGCTAGAGAGGTTTTTTTTCTTGGGAGAGTGCATGTGATCAGCACAGGGCCAATCAGCACTGTCCAGACAGAGGTCAGGGGTTTTGAATCCTCCTAGAGCTAAAGAAAACTCCATCTACAAGCTTTAACCAGTGCTCTGCTGAAGTCACAAGACTGCTCTAACTGCTGATGAGAAAAGGTATTTAGCAGTTAATATTTACTAAAATAATTGCATTTCCATGTTGTGTGTACTGTGGGAGACCAGGTGTAGTGAATGCAGGGTCCTGGGTTTAGTAACATTTTAATGAAGTCACACAGAAATATTGTAAAACTATGTGAACATCCTTAGGCTCCTTTCATGTGGGCTTTTGATTCACGTCCTCTTGTCAGTTTTTTCAGGTGGATCTGATCAAAATCTCGATGTTAGTCTATGGGCAGACTAATGTAAATGGACCTCAGAGTCCATTAAAGAGGAGCTTCAGCCATATGTGTGAAAATTCACAGCAGCTACAAAAACTGTAGCTGCTGACTTTTAACAGACTCTCACCTTTCCCAGCATCCAGTGCTGTTCCCACTGGAGCCGTTTCAATACTTATCTTTTGTCCCTGGTGCTGGCCTCTTAACTATGGACAGCTGGTTGTGCCTTGTGTACAGAAACAAAAAACTGCACTGGATGCGTATTAAAACGTAAATCATACAGAACAAAATAAATTATACTAAATATTGCTGCCATTTCCAATAAATCAATAGGAACATAAAAGAACCCTCAAAGTGATTCAGTAGTGCAAATTACATGTGAGTAAGTATAAAGGTGAAAAATCAATGTAGGTGAAAATAAAAGTCCAAAAAAAGTCCTTATCCACCACACAAATCTTCAAATTCTTCAAAAACAGTCACCACCAGGGACGGACTGACCATTTGGAAACTCAGGCACTGCCCAAGGGCCCGGGGTCAGTAGGGGGTCCCATGAGATGCCCCTGGTACCTTTTTCATAGGCTTTTTTGAGTTTGGGCAAGGACACAGGGGCCCCATGATCCCCTATTGCCCGGGGGCCCCATGAGTTGTCAGTCCGCCCCTGGTCACCATGGGGTTTATTTACTAAACCTGGCTGACTCAGAATCTTGTCCACTTCTGCATAAAAACCAATCAGCTTCCAGGTTTTATTGCTGAAGCTTAACTGAACATGCTAAGGTTAGAAGCTGATTGGCTACCATACACAGGTGCCCACGATTCTGAGTCAACCAGGTTTAGTAAATAAACCCCCATGTGTCCCCCTTTTGGGTATGCACTCACCAGATAGCCATGCCCCCCATTCTCATGGTTGGCTAAAATCGCTCAAAGAATAACTTCCAATGGGAAGAAGATCATTTATTATTGATGTTAGTCATCTCCTCTAATCACCATGTCTGCCATTCTCCAGAGTAAATAGACAGCACTTCACAGATTGGTGGATGTCTAATATGGAGGCACTTATGATGGTATACAAACAACCTCCTTCTGCTTAATATTCCTTTCTCAGGTGATCATGCAAAAAACAAAGTACAAAGTACCCCAATGGTGCAGTACAATACAGCTCCTTTATTCAGTAAAAATAGACAGTCACTTACAGACTACAAGCAAATCACAAGCCCAGAGATGTTGCAATCAGGTATAATCAAGTGTAAACACTAATGGAAGTCGATGCAGTGCTCTCACCACCGCCGAATCCCATAAAAAGGCGCTCCCGCGTCACTTCTGGTTGCTGCACAGCCCTGCCTTTGGCTGTGACGGCTTGCGGCTTCACAGCTAGCTGCCCAGGCACGAGCCACACCTGAGTGGTCCCACAGTCTTCTGGGACCTGTGATGTGTCCCAGAAGGTTGCAGACAGACAGGACTTCATTCAGATCACCTAGGTGATCCAAGTGGATGTGGGAGTGGTACCTGTCAAAACCAGCTATCCGCCCCCCCCCCCCCAAAACAAATTACATCCAAATGTGGCAGAAGAGGAGGAAAAAAGGAGGGAAGTCCCCCTTTTTGGGTGAAGTTACATTTAAAGGTCCAAAAAAAAAACGTGTCCTTGTCTGTTTTCCAGACCTAAACGTGATGGATGAAAGGTAGCCTGATGTAAATGGACACAAGTCTGTTTACATCCAACCACCTATAGAGCCAACAGGAGTCCGTCTGCATCTGCTGGTAAATGCACACAAACTAAATTGGCACAAATGTTGAAACATTGTCATCCACACTGTTTAGCTCTGATTCAGCATGGGAACCCAGGCTGAACAGAGCACAGAAACCCCATACGAAAGGGGCCTAATACCTAGTACCAGGGGCGGACTATTTGGAAACTCGGGCGCTGCCCGAGGGCCCGGGGTCAGTATGGGGCCCCATGAGATGCCCCTGGTACCTTTTTCATAGGCTTTTTTGAGTTTGGGCAAGGACACAGGGGCCCCATGATCCCCTATTGCCCGGGGGCCCTATGAGTTGTCAGTCCGCCCCTGGTACCATGTACTTGTATGGAAAAGTACCCTGTTCTCTTTGTATTGCTTCCTTTGTGCAAAATTCGTGATGTTCCTGCCAGTCCCTCTGTTTCCCGGGGGCCCCATGAGTTGTCAGTCCGCCCGTTTATGATACACAGTGCTTCGGTGAAAAAAAATGCCATTTATTTCAGGATTTACATTGAGCTTGTGCTTCATGTGAGCACATCACTTCCATGTGGCTGCCACAGGATGGAGTTCCATGAACAGCACACAGCTCCCTCCTTTCATCTTTACGACTCTTTCCTTGGCTCCGTCAAGTCTCTATGGTGCTTGGACTGCTGGATTCAGTGGAAAGACCAGGAGGGGCTCATCTACTCATTTCTCCTCCTGTACTCTATGGTAGCAGCAGCGGTGATCAGTCTGCAGGCAGCACAAGGAGCAGCAGTGCCTGGGAGCCGGCTGAGCGCTGTGTGTGTATGCAGGTACTCCTCTACTGGAACTTTCTGTGTCCTTCCTTGTCCTCTCATGAATCCATAGCTGCTGCTCCACATCTACACTACGCCTGCCAGCACTCCATCCTCTCTATGGGAAGCGTGGCATACTACATACTGCTGTGTGTGTGACATTGTGAGGATGGGGGGGGGGGTGACACTACAGCATCCTCCTAGGACCTGTACACAGGACCTGTGCCACCTCTCCCTCTTCATCTCTGTATGTATGGGGAGCAGCAGCATCATTGTGCATCACTATCCTGCATTAGGATGTATAGAAATGACAAGAGCCTTCTGTTAATCCATCATAGTGTGTTCTATTACTATTTACATTACAGATATACAGGGGGTGGGAATATTAAACACAATATACTACCTTAGTCTGATCGGTCTGTAGATAGATTACAATAATCTGTCACAATATGATTCATGAAAGCAGATATATACACACATACATACACAAAACACACACATCAGGCGTAGGTAGTGTATTGATCTAAAAATCATATAATGACCTCTATCATGCATAATCAAAATAGTATCTGATATACGGACATATACATTAAATTAAAACAAAACACACACATATATATATATACACTCATCAGACGTATGTAGCATATTAACCTACAGTAATATAATGACCTCTGTATCCATTATGCATATTCAGAACAGGATCATATGTATATACATATACACGTCAGGTGTAGGTAGTATATTGATCTAAAATAATATACTGACCTCTGTATCCATATTCCAAACAGGTTCATATGTATATTTATTTATTACAAGTACTTGTATAGCACTGTCAATTTATGCAGTGCTTTACATTCACATCAGTCCCTAACCCTCAAGGGGTGTACAATCTAAGGTCCCTAACTTACATTCATACATATGCATGCTAGGGCCAATTTAGACAGGAGCCAATTCACCTACCAAGATGTCTTTGGAGTGTGGGAGGAAACCGGAGTTCCTGGAGGAAGCACAGGGAGAACATGCAAACTCCAGGAGAGTGGTGTTGTGGTTGGGATTTGAACCAAGGACCCTGGTGCTGCCAGGTGGAAGTGCTAACCATTTAGCCACTGTGCTGCCTGTATATATACCCATATACATCATGTGTAGATAGTATATTGATCTAAAATAATATAATGACCTCTGTATCCATTATGCATATTCCAAACAGGATCACATGTATATTTATTTATTTCAGGTACTTGTATAGCACTGTCAATTTATGCAGAGCTTTACATATATATTGTACATTCACATCAGTCCCTAACCCTCAAGGGGTGTACAATCTAAAGTCCCTAACTTACATTCATATACTAGGGCCAATGTAGACAGGATCTATTTAAACTACCAGCATGTCTTTGGAGTGTGTGGGGAAACTGGATTGCCTAGAGGAAACCCATGCAGGCACAGGGAGAACATACAAACGCCAGACAGGTGGTGCCGTGGTTGGGATTTGAACCAATGACCCTAGTGCTGCCTGGTGGAAGTGCTAACCATTTAGCCACTGTGCTGCCCATGTATATACACATATGCATCACGTGTGTAGGTAGTATATTGATCTAAAATTATATAATGACCTCCTGTATCCATTATGCATAATCAAAACAGTATATTATATACACCGATCAGCCATAACATATTGACTACTCACCATAACCCAGCGAGGCATGGACTCCACTAGACCTCTGAAGGTATGCTGTGGTATCTGGCACCAAGCCATAAGTAAACAATCCTTAAGATTAGGTTCACACCTCTGCAAGTTGTGATTGATGCATTTTTCTGGCGCCTTTTGCAGTGCGTTTTTGTGTTTTTTATGAGTTTTGCAGTTTGTTTTTTTGTCAATAGGAAATATTGACTTTGTTGCCACTTTGATGTGACTTTGGATGGGTGCAATTTTGATGCTACTTGAGTGCCAAGGAGTGTAAAGTCGCATCAAAGTTGAACCTCACGAAGGAACTATCATATTTCCCTATTAGCAAAAAAATACAAAAGTATAAAAAATCCAACGGTTACGTTTTTGGTGTGGTTTCATTGAAGTCTATTGCACAAAAAAATGCAACCTGCTGCTGGAAAAAGAGTCCCTGACCCTTTAAAAAAAAAAAACACACCCAGTCAAAATGAACAGATATGAACTAGATCCATTGGAAATCATGTTAAATGGACTGTAGTGTGTTTCTGCAAACTAGAAAATGTACTGAAAAACACTCAAATGTGAACCTAGGCTTAAGTTCTGTAAATTGCGTGGTGGAACCTCCATGGGTTGGACTTGTTTTTTCAACACATCCTCTAGATACTCACTTGGAATGAGATCTGGGGAATTTGAAGAAGTCAAGTCAAACCATTCTTGAATTCATCAGACCAGGCCACCTTCTTGCATTGCTCTGTGGTCCAGTTCTGATGCTCACATACCCATTGTAGGCGCTTTTGACTGTGGACAGGGGTCAGCATGAGTACCCTAACCATTCTGTGGCTCTTCAGGACAACAAACTGCGGTGCACTGTTTGTCCTGACACCTCTCGGTACCAGAATTGGATCACTCTTCAGAGGGCATTTGATAGACAGTGAGGAGGCATTATATTGCCTACTTACTGCCTGTTTTAACCCCTTAAACCTGGTACCAGCCAGCGGTCAGCTGTTCAGTAAAAGGGAACCAGGTGTGCTCTACACCCCCTTGTGATAGCAGTAATGTTAAATGAAAAAAAAAACAAACAGAAATGTAATAAAATAAAGAAAAAAAAAAGAAATTAAAAGCACCCCCGTCCCTTCTGCGCATAAATGCAAATTTGTACGTAGGTACCGCACTTGCATGTAAACAGTGTTTGCACCACATGTGAGGTATCACTGTGAACTCCAGATTGAGAGCAATCACTCTAGAGCCATTCATGGTTAAAGCGGAGCTCCGGGCTCCCCCTAAAAAAATTAAAAGTCAGCAGCTACAAACACTGTAGCTGCTGACTATTAATAGTAGGACATTTACCTGTCCAGGGATTCAGTGATGTCCTCAATTCTTCAAACAGCTTCAGGTGCAAGCGTATGCAGTGGTGCACCGAAATGAAAATTCTGGTGCTGAGAACAAAAATTCAAAATGCACTTGGCCGAAAACCTAAATGCGCAGTTTTTAAAAATTAATATATATTTTTTGGAAAAAATACACTTTTATTAAATAAAAACAAAAAAAAACAGTATATACCCCAATTTTTTTGTAACATATGAAAGAAGATGTTACGGCGAGTAAATAGATACCCAGCATGTCACGCTTTAAAATTGTGCATGCTGGTGGAATGGCGTGAAACTGCGGTACTTTTAAATCTCCATGGGAGATGTTTTAAAAATTTCTGCAGGTTAGCAGTGTAAAGTTACAGAGGAGGTCTAGTGCGAGAATTATTGCTCTTGCTCTGACGTTTGTGGCGATACCTCATATGTGTGGTTTGAACACCATTTACGTATGTGGGCATGGTCTACGTATGTGTCCACCACTACGTGCGAGCATGAGGGGACGGGGGCACTTTAATTTTTTTTTTTATTATTTAATGGGTTTTTTTGTTTGTTTTTTTTGTTGTTTTTTTTTAGTCACTTTTATTCTTATTACAAGAAATGCATGCATCCCTTGTGATAGAAATAATTAGTGACAAGTCCTCTTTATAGAGAGATATGGGGTCAATAAGACCCACATCTCTCCTCTGCAATGTAAAGCATAGGATCAAAAAAAGGCATTGATCTAGTGCTTTAAAAAAAAAAAAAAAAAGTGGCCGGATCCGGAAGTGACATTGCTGCGGTCCTCCAAGGGCATAGAGATGAGTGGAGGCCATCTCTCCTTCACTAATCTCTATGCCCAGCTCCAGGATTGTTCGGTGGTTTCTCAGGTAAGGCTGAGAACTACCGAGTGGTGGTGGCAGCGGCGAGGGGCAGGGTTTTTTTCGGCACCTGTATTGTGTTTTTTTTTTTTTTTTTTTCATATCGGCCAACGGCCGAAATTTCAGTGCATCTGTAATCTTTAGTATGGGAAACTGACAGTGAAGCCTTGTGGCATGTGCAAAGCGCACTCCGCTTTGTGAATGGTCCCACGGTCTTCGGGGACCTGTGATGTGTCCCAGAAGGCTTTGGGGGAAGGAGGGGGGGGGGCGAACGTCCAGCTCAGATTGCCGCGGTGCATCTGCTTGGAAGTGGGACCAGGTTCCTGTCAAAACCAGGTACACATTCCCCCCTCCCCACAAAATCAGTTCCAAATGTGGAAGTGGAGGAGGAGGAGGGGAATGCAAAAAAAAAAAAGTTTAGCTTTAAATTGATAACCTTTATATGCTTTTAAAGCACCTATGAAAAATTGTGGGTACTGTAGTTTTTCACCATTTCAAGGGCAGTTACAATTATGAGCATTGACATGTTTGGTATCTACTCAACATCTGTTATATAAATTTTTTTTAATAATTTGTTATATATGTTGATGGTGTGAGAAAACACATAACAGTGTGGGCAGCAACTATTGTTTAATTTATTTATCATTGTTCTATAGAGGTAAGGATTGCACAAAGAATACCAAAAAGTTTCAACCCCATCTGTTGTACATTTCCAAAAAGTGGGTTTTGTGTTTGTGTGCACTAAAATTCATTTCCTGAAAACATGTGCTTGATAAACAGCTGTACAAATATTGTAAAAAATTGCAGCTGCTACCATTCTGCAGGTCCTCTGCTTTCAGAAATTATTTAATGTTTGGGGGTTCTAAGTAATTTTCA